CGTCATGTGATGAACGAAGGCCCAGCAAGGGCTCATCGTGGCTGCGGGCGGTAGCTGAGGGCTTATTCATACAAATCTACAGTCACCCATCCAAAGTAATCCTCCTTTGGCCTCCCGTAAAGCCATCATGCAAATCATTTCCAGTCGCCTCATCAAACGAAATGAAAGTTATTGTTACATGATTTTCGATTTCAACGAAAAAGTTGCTTGGAAGCAATTTGTTAAATGGTATCACCGGAAACCGAATGAGGATTGCCGCGAAGTGGAGACTGTCAGCTGCTCACCGTGCTGAGACACCGATTAATCTGTGCTAAGCTTTTGTCTGTACTGTGACAGGCATCATCAGAGCAAGAATCCATTCTTTACGAAATGGCGCACAACAGTTGGGTGGCAGGGATTCGTGAAATGGTTTCACCAGAAACCGAAGGAAGATTTCCGTGGAGTGAACAATGCCTTGGCCCACAGTCCTGCGATCTCGATCAACCTGTGCTAAGCTTTCGTCTGTACCGCCCTGAGAGATATCATCAGAGCAAGAATCCATACTTTACGAATCATAAACCCAGAAAAAAGGTGGACGGCTGCACTTTTTTATACACCTCTACTTGTGTTTCTAATGCAACATCCCATGATTTGTTTGGCTAACTTAAGCTTACTCTAATAAAATATATGAAGACCAAGATGTTGTGGTCTCTGTTATGGTCGCAGTCTCCTTTCGATGTATAGAAGTGGGTTGACCTCGTTGTCACAGCTTGGTCTTGTTGTCAGGGTGACTATGTAGAATGCCCCTAGTCCGAAGATGTCTGCCATAGTATTTGTCATGATTACCACCATCTGACAGTGGACTTGATACATTTTCAAGCCCACTGTCAGATGGTGGGAATCATGACAAATACTAGGGCAGACAACATCGGACTAGGTGCGTTCTACATAGTCGCCCTGACAACAAGACCAAGTTGCGACAACGAGGTCAGCCCACTCTATTTGCCAACCTAATTATACGATAGCTCATTAAATACGCAGGGTTGGGTGTATAAAAAAGTGGCTAGAGTTACAGCCGTCCACCTATTCTCTGGGTTTATGATTCGTAAAGTATGGATTCTCACTCTGATGATATCTCTCAGGGCGGTACAGACGAAAGCTTAGCACAAGTTGATCGGGATCGCAGGACGGTGAGCCAAGGCAGTGTTCGCTCAATGTAACAGTCTTTACTCCACGGCAATCCTCCTTCGGTTTCTGGTGGGACCATTTCACGAATCCCTTCCACGCAAATTTTCCTTCGAAATGTAAGCTCATGCCACATTGTATCACTGAAGCAATCTTCGAAACCCAGTTTTTATGGATATCTCCGAAATGAAGGGTATTCCTTCAAACCTCGATTGTCATTCTACTCGGCGAGGTTACTTATATTCCGGTAGAGTATGTAGCCAAACGAGCAGTAATTTATGAATAAGCTTGGATGAGAAAACCTTTCAGAAATGAAATTCAATGGCGTCATGTGACCTATTGACATGGCTGGGGAAAACTCTTGTGGGTTGACTAAATTCGTATGAAACGTGGCCTGGCCGAGTTGATGTGCTGCCGTCTCCATTAGGGGCTTCATTTATGTCTCAAGACCTTGATGAATGAGCTACATTTTAGCTTCGCTTTATTTGCCCAACGCCTTAGTGACTTGTCTTGCAAATGGAGGCTAAGGGCTCAGAAGAAAGAACATGTTGGCCGATGTATCCAGGCTTCTCTGAGTAATTACCTCCTTGCCTGGCCGGCCTCGGCAGGCTGGGCAGATTGCTAATTGGTCAGTCGAGCAGGTTGGTGTTGTCTGGAGTGGTGCGAGAGGCTGGAAGAGAGTCAGCACAACTGCTCTTTGGCCCTCTTCGATGGGCCCAACAAGACGAGCAGTGAGAAGGGTTGGAGTGGTGATGCGAGTTGGCGAAAGACAATTTGTGGGCATGTCTAATGGATTGGGCCGGGCTGGAGTTGTGACGACTAGAAGTGACTGACCAGAAGAGCATGACGTGAGTCTAGACGGGCAGATGAGCTGTGCATGGGGCGTTTCCGCGTGTAGGCGAGGGAGGAGGAAGAGAAGGGATGGGCCGATGGGCAAATTTGGTGTGAGGTGGCCAGATCTGCACTGGCCTTCATTTCCTGCCAGATTTGCCCATTTTACCGCTCATATCCTAGACCTGTGACTTGCTTCACCTTGACTTCACCTTAGCTCCCCGGCATGGCGTCTAACTTATCTGATGGTAACCAGGTGACGTCTTCAACTTTTCCCCCTACCTCCCATCGGCCGGTTACCACTTCCTCTTCGCCAGGGCTTCAAGTCACCTTTTTACTCTTAAGCCTATCCGGCCTCGCATTACGTCAAATATGTCATATTCCCATCTGCATTATCTCTCCTCGCCTCCGGCTCTCTCTCCCTCTCTCTCTCACCTCCACCCCTTCCTTCCTTCTCTCCTCCTCGTTCGTCCGCTCTCCATCTCGCCTCCCTCAATTCCTCGTGTTCCGTTACTTCAACGTACCATTGTACTTTTCACTTTACTCCACTTTGTCGTCTCTGATTGCACCACTTACTTTGCATTCACGGTTCAGCTACCCCACTTTTTTAGGCTTCTCTGACTTCGGCTCCTCCATCTTTCCTCTTCCTCTCATCTCCATCTCTTTCTCTCTCTCTCTCTCTGCTCTTGGTTTCCGCTCCCGACCCAGAGGAGGCAAGATACCATCTCACCTCGTCGTTCGGCCTCTCTTCTGAACCGTAGCTCTCACTCGGGCTTGGCCACAACCAGCCAGTCCAACCTCGAGACAGACAATCCTGTACACAATGTCGCCAAGGCATGGGGAGGCTGTCACACCCGGCAAGCCTTGCAACATCTCCATTTCGCGTCTCGTCTACCTTTTATTTCGTCTCTTTCTCTCCTGAGGCATGAGAACCGGCATCACCTTGTACACGCCTGCCAGTTTCACCTGTTCCGGCCTCTGAGACTTTTGTCAACGAGCCAAGGCCACTGTGTGCGCGTGTGCAACCAGCGTTTGTGCCTACTCTCATAGGTGTGTTCATGTGCATGAGTGTCTGTTTTCAGGCCTGTACATGTGCACAAATGACATGAGGATTTGCTAGGGCATCCACTGATGTCCAGCTTAGGCGTCAGGCCTGGAAGTTGTTGGCCCAGCTCGTGTGAGTTACAAAGCAACTCTGTTCTTTCATAATCACAGTTTCCCGCCATCACCAGCTTGTGTGCACACATAACTGATCTCTACCTCATTGTCGGTGGGTGGATGAGACGTTGACAACGTTATCAGGAAAGCCTGACGGTGCCATCTAATCTCAACATCCTGAAGACGAAATGAAGACAAATGAAGAAGAGACATGGGAACTCTGAGTGTGTTCCCTGGGTCAAAAGCATGGGGGTGGTCACGAATACCAATATAAGTATCGAAACTTTTAAAGACCATCCATGCAACTATGGCTATACACGTGCATGAATCAATAGAAAGGGGCATGGAAAAGAAAAAAAATGTCGAGAGCTGTATTAACTCTATTTCGCTTAGGGTGATGAAGGATTGCTAGTTGAATTTTCCCACAATCATATGATTAGGCTTCATGTTTCAACTGGATTTCACATAACCCTGGCTACCAAAAGGTATTCGCATGTAGGTCGCATCTGCACCGCTAGCGGGACTCGAACCCTGGTAGCGCGGGGTATAGTCTTGACACGCTAATCACTACACCCCACTGTCGTCCGACGACACTGATGAAGACTTCTTTGTACACTCCAACAGCCTTCACTCTGCGGCAAACCTTCGTAGACTTCTGATGAGATCAATTTATGAATCCCTTTAACCTACCTTTTCTTCCAAATGGAAAGTCGAGTCACAATTCCCAAATTTAGTCCTGCCGATTTCGCTTTAACATCTGCCTACAATCCCTCCTGCAGCTTCGAAATTTTCTGCATGACTTAATCCACGATTAAATGAGTCTCCGACTTTCATATAGGCTTGGAAGTCTATAAAAACTGTTCATTCTTACCACTTTCATTCCACCCCTCAGTTGTCATAGTTTACTTCAAAACCTATCATATGCAAGCTTGTCCTCTTCGCAGTCGGCTCTATAATTTCCCATTATGTTAGGCAACTCAGCAGGAATCTTGTTTCTTCTTTATTCTTTGTTCTTCATTCTTTCTATTTTGTCTGTTTAATCTGCTGGGACCCTTTACAGCCTTATGCAATCACTCCAGAAATCTGTACATCCCATCCCCCTTTCGCAGACACTTTTAGGCCCTCCATGGAGAGGGTGGTTCGAAGACGCTGATCTATTTACATGACGTTTATGCATGGCCACTTTGAGCTCTGAGGTAGGAGATTTAATAATAAGCCATGACTACCGGAACAGGCCGTCTCGATAACTCCATTTTTGCCTGTTTTTATTGAGAATGAAGGAGTTTACTCTGTTTACATTTTTCTACTGACCACCTTATGGGTGACATCAGAAGCCCTATCTTTCTTGTTGTTGTCTACATTGCCATTCAGAAACAACATAATCAACTCTTTAATTACAGAATTCTATCCGTGGCTATACATGGTTTCACGAAGGTTATCTAAGACGCTCTTATTCTCCGTTCCATTCAATCTGTCCATGAGACCTTCATCATATTCGATTTTACTCAAAAATGATGGATTGAAAAGGAATTGGTCAACTCCCGAAAATCACTTCTTCTGACAACATAGCCCAAAATAAAAGTTTAATCCTAATCTGTAACACCCAAGTAACTATGAAACTGTTATCCTTTGCATCAAGTAAGGCCAGACCTGAAACCGTTTTGGGTTTAGGTGGCTTTTAATTAGAATCGTTGTCAAGAATTGTGGAGAGAGGTTAAAAGAAAGTCCAGAGGCAAAATGATGTGGTCAACACTAAATCATCTAACACCCTTGCAGGTGCTCAAGGACTTATGTTGCTCCATTCAGGGGCGCATATGAGAAAGGCGACACAATATAAAAGCTCGCCAAAAACTCTGACTTGTGGATAATTACTCTTTTTGTTTGGTATATAAATTGACATTTATTGTATCCAAATGTTTTGGGGGTGTCACCTAGTCTCTTAGTCAAGCTTGGCACTTGAATAGGTTCGTCAAGAGATGGTGCTAGCCTTCATCA